GCTGGGAGATTTTGAGGTGTGAGAGAAAGAGAAGAGCGAAACTTTTTCGTTATATTTTCCGTGTAATGGATGTTCATTTAATATAGTTTATCGGTGGTGGTTTGATTTGCTTTACTTTTGGGCTAATTCGTGGTGTTTTTGGGGTGTTTTGTGGGGTTCTCCTGCCGGTGTCTCGCCGGCCGGCGTCTGACGCCATGGTAAATGGAGAGTTTGCCAAACTCACGAGGAAGCACGGCATTAAAATCTCAGCCGGTTTCCCATGCACTGTGGAGGAGATCGGGCTGGCTGTGGGAGAGAAGGTCGGGCACAGCAGCATTAAGTCCCTGGCGCAGATGAACAGCGCGGGTGGTGATCTTTCTGGATTAGGTGGAGAAGGTGAACCGCGTCATCGAGGTGTTTTGGTTATGAAGTGTTTTGGTTGCGGGGAGGAGGGGCACACCATGAATGCCTGTCCGAGGCAAGGGGATCCGGCTCCGCCTGGTCCGGATGACCCGCAGGCTGGGCCGTCCAACGCGCCAGCGGCGGGGTCGTCCACCGCTGCGCCGGGGCCACCCGCGGGGTCGTCCACCGCTGCGCCGAGGCGGACTGCCGCGCCTGCGGCCGGTGCGCCGGTTGTAATGGAGCAGCAGGTGGCTGCTGCTGAGGGAGGGGTGTCACCCACGGTGGCGGCCGCTACGGTGGTGGAGGGCCCCCCTCCGGAGGCGGCCGCTGCTGCTGACGGCAACGCTGCTCCTGAGCAGTCGGCGGTGGCGCGCGATGTGCCGTCTCGGACGCGGAGCGGGCGAGGGCGCGCTGTACAGCGCGGTTCTGCTGCTGTGCCCGGCTTGCGGTGCGGTGGTGTTGGGTGTGGGTGATTATGTCCAGGAAAATGAGGTGGTGGTTTTGTGTGAAGCAGAAGAAAAGGGGGATGGGAGAAAAAAAGATAAAAATACAAATGGTGAAAACCTGGAATAATCAATGAACCAGAAGGTGATTTGGTGATTTGGTAAAAGAAAATGTAGGGACAGGTGAAGTCAGTAAAACACAGGAGGAGGATATAGATAGGGAAACACATTTGGACAAAACAAGAGAGGAGAAGAAAACATGGGGCGAGCAGGTGGAGGTTGCTGAGATGGAGGAAGAGGAGGTCGCAACAGAAATGATATATAAAAAAACGACTGCTACTAAACGCAGGAGAAATAAAAAGGATGAATCAACCGTTGCAAAAAGCAGTAAAGTAGTGAGTGAGGGAAAGGAAGAAAGAGAGCAAGAACAGGCGGATGAGAGTTGGGATGATTGTGTCTGACAGCAGCGATGTGCCAGGTCTTTTGAGCAGTAGCCAACAAAAAAAAATGTACTCGGCTGAAATGATAAAAAATGACCTGGTGCAGACAAAAAACCAACATAATTTAATTATAGAAGAATATTTCCCAGATTTGTCCGTTTTTTGTGCCTCAGCAAGAACTCATGAGCCGGAGAGAGTCTGTCCTGGATGAGCTGGAAATATACAGACTAAAAATAATTGTTACTAAAGTAAGGAAGCAAATGGGCAGCGGTGATTTTAAAAACCTCAATGTCTGTGTTTAATTTATTTGTTTTTATTTTTGCTTTTAACATCTCACTCGAAATGGATACTTTTAGAGTGGGACGTTTAAATGTGAATGGAGCCAGAGAGGAAAGAAAGAGGGCTTTCATATTTCAGACTGCAAAAATAAAACATATCGATGTCCTCTTTTTACAAGAGACGCACAGCGACGTTTTTAATGAGACGGACTGGAGGAAGGAGTGGGAGGGGGAAGTCATTTTAAGCCACAACACCTCTCTTAGTGGGGGGGGGGTGGGCTTCCTCCTCTCCAAGTCTTTTAGTCCTGTCTCTCTGGAGGTCGAGCATTTTATCAATGGGAGGTTGCTTTTAATAAAAGCACGGTTTGACCTTTTTACAGCTGTTTTTATAAATGTGTATGCTCCAACAAACGGTGCAGAGAGGAAGCTGTTTTTACTCAAAGTTAATGATGTTTTAAACGGTTGTGCCACGGAGCATTTTTTATTCTTGGGTGGGGATTTTAATTGTACAGAAAATGCATCTTTGGATCGCAACCATGCAGAGCCGCATCCAGCATGCTCTGAGGCAGCTGGTCCACGCCCACGGCCTGGTGGATGTATGGAGAAGGATGCACGCAGACAACAGGCAGTACACCTGGTCCCACATCAGAGAGAATAGAATCTCATCAGCTAGACTAGATCGTTTTTATTGTTTTAAGCATCATTTTAATATTTTTAAAATGTGCAGCATATCACCTGCTGGTTTTACGGATCACTCTTTGCTTTTATGTAATGTTTTTATTAGAAATGTTTTACCCAGAAGTGCATATTGGCATTTTAACTCGGGTTTTAACATTTGATAAACATTTTAAAGAGGCCCTTATTTATTTCTGGAGTGTTTTTAGGCAGAGGAAGGGAGATATTAGCAGTCTTAGGCAGTGGTTGGTAAGACTGAGATAAGATTGCTCTGCCAACAGCACACCCTCAATGTCACACAAATTGTTCAAATACAATGGCGGCTTAGACTTTTCCGAGTTTTACGGGGCGTGGTTTGCAATTCGCCTAACCAATCAGAAATTGGAACTTTTCTCTCCCCAGGATAGTCCCACCTCGCTAGCAGGGACTGAAAAGGGGGGAAAAGTTCTCATGAACTAAGTTCTCTTTTTAGTGTGAATTCAAAATCCCAGGAACTAAACGGGAAAAGTACTCTGGTGTGAAAGCGCCTAAAGTGTCCTTAAAAACGTTTCAAAACAATCCTCATAGTACCAAAGCCCCTCTGGAAGAAGCATGATTTTGTGAACATTGATTTATTGGAGCATACTTAACATGGATGGATTAACAGTTGACAGTCCTGTTGTAGTGGTGGTAGATATGTTGACTTCTGTGAATTAGCAAGCTACACATTTCAGCCATCTTTCAAGCCGAATGGAGGTTTTGATCTGAGGATTCCTTTAAGCATCCTTCCAGACAAACTGACCAGCTTTTCTCAAACTTTCATTAGAATCAGGCGTGTAGTTTTTCAGTAATCCAGTTTGTTGTTGATAAATAACCCCAAACAAAAACACATCTTCTGGGCTGAGGCAATAAGACAGCCTGCAATCATTTCCTAATCTTCCTCACGCTCTCTAAATGCCCACCTATATGACATATATACGACATGTGTCACTGAGCCACCCTCATTACCCCCCCCCCCTCAGTGTGATTCCCATAGGTCTCATAACAAACAGTGACACAGCTTGTGTTTATCTTGTCTTCACATAAAGCTAATCGGCCTCATGCACTGACATCAAGTGACAAAATAAACGCAGATCAACACAAATAAATTGCCTCGATCCGTCTGTATGAAACATAAGGTCTCTGTTCATCCTTTTTTCTAAGCCCTTTGTCTCTTCTATGTTCATTTAGAAGTGTACTGGTGTGCAAAGTGTCCTTCTTTAAGATTCCCATCAGCCTCCCTCAGGAGAGCACCCAGTTGAGAATCAAAATGAGAAAATGAGCCTGACCGGTGCTTGTTTTCCTTCCAGGTGATATCTCTCATCAGGAAGGATCCGCTGAGCGAGCAGACGATGTTTTGTGTCTAATTTAATCCTCCGTAGGCAGAAACAAAGAGCTTTTTAATGAATGGTGATGGCACGGAGACCATTAGAAGGCAGGGAATTCACTTCATACGGCTCGGGTGTAATCAGTCTTGTTTTTTTTTTAGTGCCCTTTGATTAAAGTGCAAGCTTCTCAATATGAGCTTTGTTACCCATATTAGGTGCTCCACACCATTAGCCTTCTACCAGCGTTGGGAAAGTCGAATGCACCATTCGGACTAATGAAGCAGATGCAACCCATCTGTTGCTTACTTCGAAGCCACCTTTAGCACAGGTCCACACTGAAGGCAACATCCTGTCTCCTTTGAGCCATAGGAAAATAAATCAGTTTCCATATAAAAGCTGTTTAGAAGCTAGGGCTGCACGATTAGGGGAAAACATCTAATTGTGATTTTTTCTGACAGATATTGCGATTCGATTTGCGATATTTGTTTTTAAGCGACCCTACGGAAGTTTATTGTAAAATGCGGCCATATCTCCGGCTAGGAAGGTCGTATCAACGTGCTCCCGTCTCTAGCACCCCCACAGCCCGAGCTACGAGTGAAAGAACTAAACTTACATGAAACTTCCGTTGGGTTGCTTTAAAGTCAAGCTTCAGTTTAAGATTCTCCCTGTAATAGAAACATGTGATGGATCATTACTAACCTGACTCAGAAACCATCTAGGAAAGCTCCATTGGAAGCCGTTTTGAAAGGGCAGGCAATTTCAAAAGCACTTGGCAGGTAATTGGATCAATCTGTCTGTCACCTTCTATCAGGGGCCACTTCTGATTGGTTAACAATGGCTGGTACATGTGGAGCACAGCACTTCTGATTGGTGTGGATGACTCACACACAAGAATTACATTTTCTTTTTGATAATTCCATCATTTGAAATCGCAATTTCGATTTAAAATTGATTAATCGTTCAGCCCTAGTTGAAGCTCTCCAATAGCTTTCCACTTCAGAGGAAATATAACAATATACTGGCAAGTATGAGCACAGTAAAGAGGTTCAACAATGGCTCTCAGCCGGTGCTTTGGACTACTGCAGTCAGTGCTATAAGACTAGCTCTGCATCAAACTCTTTCACTTAGATCTAACTGATACCCCTCATAGCTTTGACATTTTAATTTCATAACAAGTCTTAAAGTCTAATCCCTGCCGGTGGTCTGTGAAGGTTTATTACAACTAACATTTTGACGGGGAGAATAACAGCAATGTTTAACAGAAATCACCTATACATGTGAGCTTTTTCAGATCCTGGCACTTCTGTGAAGTTCATAGGGTGAAAAGAAACACTTCCTTTTCCTTTTTGGAGATTGATTGTTTCCGTATATGTGAAGGGTCTAAGGACAGAGGGTGTTGAAGCTGTGCAGCCTGTAGAGCAGGGGTCTCAAACTCAATTTCATCGTGGGCCACATTAGCGTTATGGTAGCACTCAAAGGGCCGGTTGGAACTCTCAATCTCAATCTTTATTTATTTACAGTGCACATTTAAAACAACCTCAGTTGACCAAAGTGCTGCACAGGGAACACATATAGAAGAACACAATAGGAGTAAAATAATAAAACAATAATTAAAAACAAGAAAAAAAGCACAATAACTAGAAACATATAAACACATACAAATATCAAAATGTTGTGTTGTACATATATAAATATATCATATATATAAAATAATGTATTATATGATATGATTGGCTCTGCATTGGATTATTATGGGATAGAATAATAACTTCATAATTAACTACGTCTGAAAGCAGAAGTCCAGGGGAAATAATGGCAAGTCTCTTCAGGGAGCATGTCACAAAATGAGAGATGCATTGTGGGACATGTAGTTTATGGGTGACGTGCTTCTGTAAAGCGGCATGTAACCGTATAATAAACATATTATATTCTTTCAGAGCTCTTGTGGGGCCACATAAAATGAAGTGGAGGGCCGGATTTGGCCCCCGGGCCTTGAGTTTGACACCCCTGCTGTAGAGCAACTAATGTGTTATATTTAGCTTCACAAACAAAATGAGATTGATCCATCCATCTAATGTCTTTCTGTACTTTGCCAACATATAGGAGGAATGAAACCCTCTTCAATGGTCACACATGCAGAGCACACACAGTGACATGTGTTCTCTGCTTTAACCCATCCTAGTACCAGGAGCAGTGGGCAGCTATTGGACAGCATCATAAATGATTGTGTTTTTGTGTTTCCTCAGGTGTGGCTGCTGCCGGTGCTCGAGGCGCTGAAGGTGTCTCCTCTCATAGAGAAGGTCAGCGACCACAAAGACTTCAAGAAGCTTCTGAGGACGAGAACCAACGTCCTGGTGGCGTACACCAAGACAGGTCAGAGAACACTTCCACATCTAATATGATCTCATGTTTAGCAGCATACATGTTTGGTTTAGCCTCCGTGTTTCTGTCGAGGGAGGAGAGAACATGTACAGGAATCATAGAAATGGCTTATTATCTTAATGGCTTTTATACAGCTTGTCACTGTAGAGGTCGTTGGAAAAACCAATTAACACATTTCACAGACAAAATATGTGTCACACACAACTAAAGAAATGCCCCCATTTTAAAGATGCATTTTGTTGTCTTTTTTTAATGCAAAATCATAATTGTCAACTTATTTTTATTGATAAGCAAAGGAAGCTTTAAGTGCTGATGCATTATGGACTTGTACACTTGCATTATTAAACACAATTTATTTTTATAATCACAGTTTACACAATTTACATTTGTAGGTACTTGGTTAGAAGCCGTCACCAATAAAGCCTTTAGCTACGTTTAAAAGACATCCAACAGCTTTCATTTGTCATTAATAAATAATTTGTGATAACAGAAAATAATGATTGCACACACAAATACAAACTTTTGACTGTCTCCAACACACATTATATGTTTTGTCCGACATCTTGATTTAGAGAACTGAAACAAGTTACAGATGTAATTTCACATCTTAATGCCATTTCCTTTAATTATGTGTAGTAGCATAAATACAACATTATCCAAAAATGCCTACCTTATGCACACAATACACAATATCAAATAGCAAGTGTAAGAGAAAGTAATGGCCATAGATGTCATTGTCATCATTTTTGTGGGGGAAACTTCTGAAGCAATTGGAGTCAGGACTCAGAGAGACACGAGGAGAGCTGGAGCTTTGATGGCAAACACTGACGGTTTATTTGGAGCTTCGGCCGGAGAATTCACAAGACATGTCACGGGCCACGAGTTGACCACACGGTAGAGATGCCACAATCAAATCAATTCAATTCAAACCCTTTATTTATCCAGGTAAAATCCCATTGAGATCAATTATCTCTTTTTCAAGGGAGACCTGCAGCAGTAGGTTCCACAAGAAGACATAAAAACATAAACAACAGAACAACAAAAGGACATCATACAGCAAAATGTACAGGGATTACAATTTACATATCTAACCACATGTACAGGTACCAACAGCATCTGATTTTGTAGCATCCAACCGAGCTTTAAAAACATGTAGTGGTACTAGCTTGGTAATTTTCCATTTCTTTTTGCAGACTGTTCCATGTTAGTGGAGCTGCACATCTAAAAGCTTTCTTCCCTAAGACAGTCCTAGCACTTGGCACATTTAATAAAACCACAGCCACAATCAAATCTGAAGAACTCTACCCCAGAACCGTGTATTTAGCTAGTTCATCATAACTCCTCTATCAGCTGACGCCAACAGGCAGGAACAGGGAGACCAAACACTGAGATAGGGCTGTGCGATTATGGCAAAAATCATAATCACGATTATTTTGGTCAATAATTGATATCACGATTATTAAATACGGTTATTCATTGACTTTGAAAACATCCATTTATTGAACTTTAAAACAAATACAAATAATAATTTGAACAGTATCTTTGTAACTGTTGATTACCCTGAACGTAGAATTCAACTGAAAAACCAATACAAAAATTAATGATACATTTACATTAAAGGTGGGGTAGGTAAGTTTGAGAAACCGGCTCGAGATACACTTTTTGTTATATTCCATGGAATGCTCTTAACATCCCGATAGCAATGAATATCTGAAATGCTTTGACAAAAAATCCATTAAAAAATGTCATCTGTGGAAGCTGTGGCGCTGTAAAAAGCACGACCAATCCGTTTAGCCGGCGGATTGGATTGCCGCCCTGTCTGTCAGCCTTCCATCTCGTGCACGCACAAATGTATCTCGTGCCCTCATTGGGTGTGCCGTAATTGGGCGTGCATTGCGCGTTCATGTGTGTTGGAGGAGGTGCTCTGTAAGGAAGTCTGAAGGAAGGGGCGGATTCTTTTCGGCTGTGTACTTTCAAATGTTAGTGCACTCGAGCCGGTTTCTGAAACTTACCTACCCCACCTTTAAATAAATAATATCAAAATAATAAATACCAATAAACAAGATCAACAAATATTTTGGAGCGCACTTCCACAAGCTACTAAACATATGTAAATATGATAAATACAAATAAATTAGACTAAAATAAATTAGATAAAATATGTGGCAGTCCCAACCAAGCAAAGCAAAATCGTTTTTTCGATTATGTTGTTTTCGTAGTTGTGGCTGGCCAAAATCGTAATTGCGATTAAAATACGATTAATTGCACAGCCCTACACTGAGAGCACAGCAGCCAAGGTTACAGCAGGTGCCTGTGCTCGGTCAGGACAGTATGAACTGATAAACTGGGTCAAAGTTATGGGCCTTAGAAAATATTTCCCCAACAATTGGTATGTCCCAATTTTTCACAACACTGCACGAATTCACTCAATTAATTCTGTAATAAGGAAATGCAATTGCACCGTGGCCCTTTGCCCAAATCTGATGCAACAGATTAAAAAACATTTTACCCCAGTATTTTAGAATATATTTAAAATTAATGTTCTGTGCAGAATTAGCCTGCAGCTCTAAATGGGGGAGATCTCAGGGTTTTATCTCCGTAATGAACTTAGAAAACGCTTATCTCACAGAATTAGAGAGTAAGCGTTAAATAGAAAATAAAACACTTTATGCAGTCAAACAGAGCTTTAAAGCAATGTCTTCTTCCGAAACATTAGGGAACCCTTACGGTTGTTCAATTTCATTTGCATAGTTCTAGGAAGACTGCACTCAGCAGGCTTGTAGATGGCGCTGCTAGAAATGACTAATTTTCCATTCAAAAGAGCCTCTCATGCCTCAATAAATTACACAGGACTCTGAGAGCCCCACAGCCAAAGATGTATTTGTTTTATTATTCATGTTCCACATCAGCGAGGTCATTGGATAAAGGCTTCCAGTATCGAGCCGGCTCTGATTGATCACTGGTTGCAGCATCACTGAGACGTTTCTTCTTTAAAGACACTAAAGGCTCCTCTGCTTTCGCATGTTTTCGTCCACGCTGGTTTAATTACATTACATTACATTTAGCTGACGCTTTTATCCAAAGCGACTTACAATAAGTGCTTTCGACCAACAAAATACAACCTTGAAGAAAACAGAATCATATAAGTACATCAGGTTTCATAGAGCAAAAACATTTCAAGTGCTACTCAACTGGCTTTAGGTAAGCGAGTCCTTTATTAGTATAAAAGTGCTTTGTTAATAGTTCTATCGCTCGAAGTGGAGTCGAAAGAGATGAGTTTTCAGTCTGCGCCGGAAGGTGTGTAAGCTATCTGCTGTCCTGATGTCAATGGGGAGCTCATTCCACCATCTTGGAGCCAGGATAGCAAACCCAGTATTTTTGCTGATGGGAACTTGGGTCCCCCTCGCAGCGAGGGTGCAGCAAGCCGTTTGGCTGATGCAGAGCGTAGTGCACGTGCTGGGGTGTACGGTTTAACCATGTCCTGGATGTAGGAAGGGCCAGATCCATTCGCAGCATGGTACGCAATACCAGTGTCTTGAAGTGGATTCTAGCAGTTACCGGAAGCCAGTGAAGGGAGCGGAGGAGCGGAGTGGTGTGGGAGAATTTAGGAAGGTTGAAGACCAGACGAGCCGCTGCATTCTGGATGAGCTGCAGAGGTCGGATGGCACATGCAGGTAGACCAGCCAGGAGGGAGTTGCAGTAGTCTAGGCGTGAGATGACGAGAGCCTGGACCAGAACCTGCGTCGCTTTCTGTGTCAGAAGGGGACGTATCCTCCTGATGTTGTAAAGCATGTATCTGTAGCAGCGGGTTGTAGCAGCTATGTTTGCAGTGAAGGACAGTTTGTTATCTAGGGTCACACCCAGATTCCTTCCTTAATGTCTTCCTCACCAGACAATTATCTGACCACTTCAAGCAACATTAAATTCAGTAAAAAACACTATTGCACAGTTCTTGCCCATCACCAGCCTCTGGCCCTCTGCAGTAAGTCACAGTTAGTGAGTTTTGCTTTGTTTTGAGGACATCAAGTTTTAAAAGTGAGTATAGCAATAGATGCTAAAGAGTGGTGCAGTAGGCTAACCCGGAAGTTAGCATCGCAAGCGCTCATTGGACCAAAATCAATGGTATTTTTACATTGGATGTTGGAAAATAAGCTCTCTGAAAAACACGCGTCTACCATACTGACACGTTTTATTCAACAGGATAATCTCTACATATTAAAACCACTATTACGCTTTTTGTAAAATAAATAACTAGCTAATGTTGGGCTATAAACAAACTACAGCACAGTCACATGACTTCACGTCGCCACCGCTAAGCTAATGTTCGGTGTGAAGACGTTTAGTAGTCTCATTTAGTCACTTGTTGGTTTTTAGGACACGTTCAAAGCTTCAGAGATTCACCAGTGTAGTATTTACTGACGTGTTTTATGTCGTAGAATAAAAAGTGGAAATCTCTTCAGCTTGTGTTAACCACAGACCTTATTTTTTGGCATTTAACTTTTCGAACAAACGTTGACCTAAAAGACAAGGGAAGTGATAAAAATGCTAACTCATTTCCGGGTTTTAAGACTCATTCCTGCACCATTCTAAGGCTGCAGCCACACGAGAACGGTAACGGTCGGATCCGCTACAGTTCTCTATCATATAGACGGTTCGGCCACACGAGGCCGACATGGAAATGTTGAAAACGATAACGGGTCCCAAGGTGGGTAGATCTGCGGACAAAACGCTCTGGGGGGGGCAAACGGCTCTGTGTCTACGCCCTATACGATAATTTCCTGATAACGATGACGCCATAGCCTCGCCTCTCCTGCTCAGAGATCAGCTGCTGGGCTGTCAGAAGAGGGGGAGGAAAAGAGAGGCTTCATTTATTATTCTTATATTATGATATATAGAGTCGTTATCAATTTGTTTTAAAGCTCAATAAATAAAAATGAAGACCTCTGACCGGCACTTTTCAAATTGTATACAGCAGGAGAACACGCTTGCCTCGGGGAGGGAGAAAAAGAGCCAGAGCGTCCACAGCGGAGAATAAACAGAAGGGCAACCATGGCAACCATGCGCGGGAAGTCTTCTTCGCTGCTTTTTGTGTATTTTGTGGCGGAAGTACAGCGCCACTTACAGGCCCGGCATATGTACTACGGCGTCTCCAGCGCTTTCGAGCGGTCTCGTGTGAACGGACACGTTTCTGGTGCCTGTTGCGTGTGGACGGAAGACCTTTTTGATATCGAATTCGGTTCGTTTGCGTTACCGTTCTCGTGTGGCTCCAGTCTAAATATGATATAATAACATCTATCATATATATTTTGCTCTATCAATTATATTGCAATAAACAGTAAATAAAACATACATCTTGATTCATACAGAATACTTCTATATTGAATAACCACAAAACATGCTATACTGTACCTGTTGGACATTTTTGATCAAGAGATTAAATGAGCTTTATTGCAATAGAAACGTTGGGTCATATTGCCCAGCCCCAAGTGAGCATATTTGAAATTCCACCAGCCATAATCTGCTCCATACATGGTTATACAGTAACTGATCCTGAACTGCCAGATGTTTTTGTTACAGAGCGAGACCCTGGGGAGTCATGTCAGTGCCCCCAGGTCTAAATATAGCCTGGAGCTCTGGGAGGAATTGTTCTCTTGCAGTGAATAAAACACATTTTGTTTCGGGGGGAGTATATTAATGATGTATTGTATTACACAAGGACTACATGTTGTTTACTTAACTCGCAGGAATCTAATTCGCTTGTCATATCTGATGGAAATCACTAATATAACCGTGTGTTGTTCTTGTAGCTGGTACAGTTTATTACACTAGTTTCTCCTCTTTCCTAACACAAAGCAAAGTCAGCCATTTCTCCTCTCTGACACAGTGCATTGTGCAAGTCTCCAGTGATTATAAACCCTCCATGTGGTCCATGAATGAGTTCACACTCGTGTTTATCATGTCTTAGGATATGGTGGGAAGCAGCATGCAGCAGGTACAAACTACAGATCCCCAAAACACACCTGCTGCGCTTCCTCCGTTATCCGAACAGTCGGTGTGCTCCAGAAGTCTTTGTGCCCCCAAAATATAATCCTCCCATCCCCTGCTTAGCCACACTATTGTACCACGTTGAAAGCTAATGTAACTTAAACCTCCTCCCTGAACCCATCAAGCTATTAGAAACCCCTCTTCCATCCCAGTCTCAGTGATCTCTTTCTTCTGTACTCGGGCCTTTTAGTAATACAGCGAGCTTCACTGTAACTCAACCCCCCTCGTCTCGTTCGGACATGACAGTGTTCCTCTGTGTCCGCCAGCTTTCTCCTGAGCTATTGACCGGGTTTGGTGACAAAGCTGACCGTGGTTTATTCTCTGTGTCTGCAGCTACATCAGGGGACTCTCACCTGAAACTGCTATCCGACGTGGCCCAGACAGTGAAGGGCCAGGGGACGATCGCCTGGGTCAACTGTGGGTAAGTAATGGGATTTTTAAAAACACGCTGTGGGACTTCTTCTCCCTCCATCACGCCCATTGACTCCGTCTTTTTTCGATTTATACGGCCCCTCTTGTGCGAGGAATTTTCTGGCGGCAGTTAAAAAGGCAGAACAATTTACTGCTCCCAAGAATGTCTCCACAGCCATCCATCTGCACAATTTATGGCTTCTCTTTTTTCACCGGGGTGTAAATGGCCTTGTTCCACCGGCTCCTTTGTGAGGGTGTAATTTGACAGCAGGCCACTCACCTATTGGAGAGCTTTTGAAGCCGGGGGTCGAATGGTTTTACATCTCTTTGTACCATTTAAGTTCTCCCTTTTCACTTCTCCCTTTTGTGTACATATTATCTTAACATGGTTAATGATTAATGGAGGCAATGCGGTACCACTTTACAATAAGATTAAAAGGGTTTATAATTAGGTTATTAATTAGGTTGTAAACACTATTAATCATTAAGAACCATTTATAAACCAGTTCTAACATACATCAACAGAGGCTCACTATTTGGCAAGATGACTAAGCCTTATATTGGCTACTTAGCGAGAATCAACTCAGTGAACAACAGATACCAAGGATGCTGGCTGATGAAGAAGACGAAGTAAGCTAGGTAGCCAATATAAGGCTTAGTCATTGTTACAACCCGCCTCCCTACTTAATAGTAGTGGCTCGTGAGGCAGTCCGCAACATAAAACAAAAATACACAACACGTAGGCACTAAACAGTGATCGTACATTTATTGCCACAATCATAAAACATACACTGGAGGACAGGTAAAACAAACAAAAGACGGAGGCGACTTGGGCCAACCACACCACGGGCCGTAGGATCCAGAGCCTTCCTCCGCTACCCAAAATCACACACAACCTAACGGGAGAAATAAAGCCGCGAAAACATAACTTTAACACGTCCTCCAGGAAACACAACAAGAAGCAAAAGAGCTCTGCCACAGCAGAGACATCCGGAGTAGTGATCGGGTCCTTCCTTCTCCTTCAGCCTCCTCTTTTATGTTCGGCTGATTGGCAACTGGGAACACCTGGGCCAAGCTCGGCTGAGTGACAACTGGGAACACCTGGGGAAGGCGGAGCCAGGTGTACCTGCACAGCAGAGAGAACAAAGAGGACAACAAAAAGGGGGGGAGTACGTAACAGTCATCTTGCCAAATAGTGAGCCCACATTTAAGTCTTATATTGGCTACTTGGCTTACCTCGTCTTCTTCATCAGCCAGCATCCTTGGTATCTGTTGCTCACTGAGTTGATTCCCAGCCTCCCCATCTTGATGTTTCTTGGCATCTCTTATGACCATTTATTTACGAGTTACTAACATTTATAGTCGCCAAAAGGGAGCCTTATTGTAAAGTGTGAAACAAATCACCATTTATTAATGAGTTACTACCATTTCTAATAAGGCTCAGCAGTACAGATACATGTGGGCTCACTATTTAGCAAGATGACTAAGCCTTATATTGGCTACTTAGCGAGAATCAACTCAGTGAACAACAGATACCAAGGATGCTGGCTGATGAAGGAGACAAAGTAAGCTAGGTAGCCAATATAAGGCTTGGCAGTACAGATACATGTGGGCTCACTATTTGGCAAGCAACCGGTCACAGTTGCCCTGTTTATCTCATGTCTTATAAAAGCTTATTAATGATTTATAAAGTGTTCACAACCTAATTAATAAATGAATTACAAACTATTCGTAAACCCTTTATAAGGGTAGTCTTATTGTAAAGTGGGACCGGCAATGCTTCTTCTCTGCCCTCCGAGAGTGAAGCCAAAAGATGTTCTTTGTCAGAGTTTCTTAACATTTCTTTGAGTCATTTCGTTTAAATCTGGTTGAATGTCTCCCATCAAGAGGGATTTTATGTTGTTTTTAGTTGCGTGTGCAACATTTAAAATGATCAGTCCCTCTGTTGGTGTATTCAAGAGGAATTATTTGGTTACAGGGCATACAACACAAAAGTAAATACAGTTATATATAAAGAAAAAGAAAATCTGCTTACAGTTCTGTTTCATATGCGTGTTGAGAGATGTTTCCATAGATCTCTTAATGTTGCTCTCAAAGTGCACCAGATTGATGCTTTTAACTTCAACATTTAAAAATCTTCCTGGGGGAACATGCCCCCGGACCCCCCCAGGTGAGTCTCCCCCCCCTCACTTAAATCATGTTCACATGGATAGGAAACTAAACACATTTGCACACATCTTGTGTCCATATCTTTCTGTTAGGGTGGTCATGCCACACCGTGCACGTCATGGTAAGATATCTGGATTAAGAGGTTGCTTTTTCTTTGCACAGCATGAAAGAAAGGTGAAATGAATGGGCTGTGATTCTAGTTTTTTTTTGCAGAGGTTGAGTTCAATAATTTGTACGGCCCTTGGAGGATGTTATAAAAATTGAAATGGCCCTTGAGAGGAAAACGGTTCCCCACCCCTGGCCTATAGGGTCATTATTTTAATACTCATAGTTATTTGATACTAGTTCAAATTCAGGGGACCAATTTGGCACCAATGGCCAAAACATTCATTGCCTTGCTTTGAGTAATATCCACATGTTTTTCTTTGTTATTGGAAACAAATAATCTCATTTGTAAATGTTTAAGGACACGTACCAAAACCCGGCATAAATAAAACAATGAATTAACTAAATGTGGCACGATAATTGTTTCCCTCATCAAAAACAAATTAAACATGATCACTGAACAAAGGAAAACAATCTCTCACTAAATTGTCTTTTTAGTATAATAGAAATTGACATTCTACCAAATGATTTAATACAGAGAGATTGATAATCGTATATATTTTTTCTGTTAATGTTGAAGGGTTTTTGACCTTATTGGACAAACAAGTTACGTCACCTGTAGGTCTTAGTAACCATTAATAGGTGACTAAGCAATTAATCTATTAACAAAAAAATAAAAACAGGTATTTAGTCAATTAAAACAGTCATTTGTTGCATTTAAAGTCCTATATTTCTGGTTTAAAGTCTCTTTCTATTCTCCTCACCCTTCCCTGCAGAACGACCCATCTGTCATCCTTTACATTAGAGCACATCTATCTCCAGTGTCACAGTGGAAGTGTTTCTCCTCAGTGGATGTTTTCCCCACTAACCACAGCTCCTTCTGCTCCCCAGTGATCTGACTTTGGCTTGTTGTTCTTTCTTTCTTTCTTTCCTGGTGTTCGGTTCCACTTACTTTATTTAATTTTTTTCATACCTGTCAACCCATCAACTGCATGAACCAGAGAGGAAAGCATGTATCATAGAACAGGGAACTGTGAGGAAGGCTGTAACTCCCCTTTGACACCGAGCGCTCATTGCAGCATTCACAATCTCTCTCAAGCTTATCCGGGATCCAAGACGGAGAGGAAGAGAAACTAAACTCAGAAGTTCACATTCCTCTTCAAAGAAACCCCATGATTTTCTATTTTTACTGTTTACTTTTGACTTGGGAGAGTATGGTATCCTCTCTGTCTTCCTCTGCCAACAACTCCATATTAGAAAATGCTGTTAAAGGTCACCCATTATACAAAATCCACTTCTTCATGTCTCTTCTACATCAACATGTGTCCCCTCTTCTTCATGCCTCTTCTACATCAACATGTGTCCCCTCTTCTTCATGCCTCTTCTACATCAACATGTGTCCCCTCTTCTCCATGTCTCTTCTACATCAACATGTGTCCCCTCTTCTTCATGTCTCTTCTCCATCAACATGTGTCCCCTCTTCTTCATGTCTCTTCTACATCAACATGTGTCCCCTCTTCTTCATGTCTCTTCTACATCAACATGTGTCCCCTCTTCTTCATGTCTCTTCTACATCAATTAGCGTTCTAGTCACTTTTCTCAGATACCTCATTCACACCAACGGTGTTTCAGGGCCGGTTCGGAGCTAGAGCTTGAAAAGCACCGGGTTTTCCTGTTCACACCGCAGCGGAGCAGTCTCTTAGCTCTGGAATCCGGTTCGTTTCAAGCTCCAAAAAATGGTCCGGCTAGAGCAAAAGCACCGCATACGTCACGCTTACGTCGAGGCGGGGGCAGGGGCAGATCAACTCCTGAACAACAACAAAAAGCCGGCGTTTTATCCAGTTTGTACTAGGGCTGTACGATTTTGGGAAAAAATCTAATTGCGATTTTTCTGACACATATTGCGATTGCGATTCGAATTTTGTTTTTAAGCGACCCAACGGAAGTTTATTGTAAAATGCGGCCATATCTCCGGCTAGGAAGGTCGTATCAACGTGCTCCCGTCTCTAGCACCCCCGCAGCCCGAGCTACGAGTGAAAGAACTAAACTTACATGAAACTTCCGTTGGGTTGCTTTAAAGTCAAGCTTCAGTTTAAGATTCACCCTGTAATAGAAACATGTGATGGAGCATTACTAACCTGACTCAGACAGTTTGTTTCACCAAACCATCTAGGTGAGCTCCTTTGGAAGCCATTTGGAAAGGGCAGGCACTTTCAGAAGCACTTGGCAGGTGATTGGATCAATCTGTCTATCACCTTCTATCATGGGCCACTTCTGATTGATTAACAATGGCTGGTGCATGTGGAGCACAGCACTTCTGATTGGTGTGGATGACTCACACACAAAAATTGTAAAAAAAAAAAAAATTGTAAGGCTTTGCGATTTGATAATCGCATCATTTCAAATCGCGATTTCGATTTAAAATCGATTAATCGGTCAGCCCTAGTTTGTACACAACGATGGAGAAACTTAACAAGCAGCAGTGGTCCACTGAAGAGACCAGCTACCTACTGGGAATCTGGTCTTCCGAAGAGGTACAGAGGAAGCTGGAGCACAATCGGCCATTGTTGTTGTTGTCGGTGTGAGCTGTGAGGGGTTTCCGCGCGGTTTGGCTTTATGAAGCAGGCACGCAAACGGTTACGTCATGACGCAAGCGATGACGCAATGACGCAGCACCAGTCGGACTCTGGGCAGTGTGAAAAGAGCCGGAGCTGAACCGAAGAACCGGTTCTGAAC